ACACTAGTCCAAAGAGGGAAGCTTGCTTTCTTATATACTATTTAATTCTACTCTAAAAAAAATTTTTTTTCTGTTAAAATGTCTTTTGCGTTTCCACCTCCTATACTTTAACATAGAAAAGTCAAATTTTATTTTGCAAAAATGCTGAAAACTGTGTAATTTTCCAAAAAATCGAAATTCAAGAAACACTATCCTTTAAACAATTATTTTCTTTATATGCATAAAAATTTTTATTATTATTGGAGCTTTTTCCTGCCCACAAATGTCTTTGCCGTTTCATCCCTATCCTTTAACATTGACCGAAAACAGCCTTAAGGTATCCGAACACGCTGAAAATGTCCAAATTTGGTCAAGACAGATATTTTTGTTTTTTATTTTATTGAATAGAACTATCTTTTGGCTTTTTTTACGAAACATACTTTATTTTGTTTCTACGCTAACTAGAGGCCAAGTTACAATCAATTTTATAAAGTTAGAAAAACCCCCCGGGAGTGGGTCTTTAATCTAACAGAAGTGGGCATTTAAATTGCTCAAAATCTATCATGGCGAGTCTGATAACTCAAAATGTTACGAATGAATTTCTATAACATTTTTTGAGCCTGATGTTTATGTTATTTTCTAGAGAATGGACCCAAATGTTTCTTATTGTATGAATATTTTTTTAGTTATGGCTTGTTATTTGAATAATGGTCTCATAAAGAAGGCAATATTTCTTATAATGTTTACTCAGTCGGCTCTAAACATATCAAATTTTAATAAAATATTAAAATATTAGTACATTTTCTAGATAATTGCATCTAGCTAGTTTTAGTAATACTTCTACTCATATATGTATATTACTTTTTTACCTAATTGCTTTGAAATTTTTCAAAAATATTGCTAAAATTTTACTTATAGTGATTTTTGTGAATTTCAGGTAATTTATTTTAAATATTGTTAGTTACACAGTAGTATTTATTGGTAATGAGTCCTAAAACAGCATTTATAATGTTTACATATATTTTGCTAAAAAGTACTCCAAACGTGTACCTTACACTGATTTCAGTTTCAGAAGGATAATAACAGTGCTGGTGTAAGAGAGGAAAATAATTAGCCCACTCCAAAATTAAAACAAAATCATTTAATTCACAGCATCTCACACATACAACAGCTCCATAATACATAGCAAATGCAGAATCGCTTCTTTCGTTCCACATATCCTGTACTATTTCCTGCCCCATCTAAAAGTGCCTCCTAGTCCAAAGAGGGGTTTAGATACAATTGTTTGTCCATCGATGTGGGAGAGCTTTTGCGCGTAGCTGAGGAGGAGATCCAGACTGATGTTTTTTTTCTTGTTCTCATAGAGTTTAAGGCCCAAACCTACGTTCACTCCAGTGTGCAAGTTTTTTAGTCCTTTTCCGCCACCGTCAACCGATAATTTAAACTGCGGCTGTAAAAAAAAATATTTTTTAAGTAATAATTTTTTTAATGAGAAGAAACACAGCAGAGGTAATCTCTGAACCATATCCCCCGGGACTAGATGCTTTATGAATAACACAACGTCCACTCAAACAAAATCCAGTGAAAATAGTTTAACACGAAACTGAAATATTTTTTCGTGCTAAGGGATATTGCAAAAATAGAAATACATATATTCAATAAAATTAAGTTTATTAGAGTACATTTTATTTACATAGATATGTGTATATGTGTGCATTTACACTGCTGGCCACACAAAATGCAACACCAAGAAGGGTCAGAGATATCACAACGAAATTTATTTGGTAGATAAGATGTTGTACACAAAAATCAAACGATTGAATTTACAGCCTGTTGTGACGTGTGGATGATGATAGAATTAGTAGTTAGTGTATCCACCATTGTCGGCTATAATTGCTACCACACGCCCCGGCATAGAGTCAAGGAAGCTTTGGGGGAATCCTTGGGGTACAGCAGTCCATGTGGCTTTCTGGTGGCTCTGGTGTAGCAGCACGTGGTGTATCCTGGTACAGTCGTTGTGCAAGCAAGGACACCACATTTACGATTGGCGACACACAGATATGAAGAACGAGAAGCTAATGAAACAATTTAATCAGATGGGTGAAGAACTCTCGAACACTGCGTGCCCACTTGCGATCACGCATTATCTTGCTGGAATACGCTGATGGCAGGAGCTGAATGTATGGGAAAACAATGGACTCAAACACCTCAGAGATGTAGCACTGGTAGTTCAATGTATTGACAATGCATACTTGAGAGGTGCGGCAGTAAAATCCAGCACCAACCCAACTCCTGATACAGGGTGCAGGACAAGTGTGGCGATGCATAACACAACAGTTCAGCAACCTCTCACCGGCATGTCTCCGAACTCGAATACGACCATCGTGATGCTACAGGCAGAAGCGGGATTCGTCAGTAAACACAATGTCGTTCCAGTTGTCCATATCAACCGTTCATCGCACCATTGGGGACGCAAACGCTTGCTTTGCGAACATTCCACTATTCTGCAAACGGCGTCGGTTGGTACGAGTGGACACCGAATGATGCGTAACAGACTGAATCCGTTGTGCTATGCGTCGTGATGTGGTTGCATGATCCATCAATGCTATGCGCACAATCCGCCTATCATTACAGTAAGTGGTGCAACTAGGTTGTTGCGATCTACTCCATCAGTCCATCGTTTCCTCCTACACCACAGATAATCAAAAATTATAGAAAGCATTAAAATACAGTCATTAAGAATTTTCAACAGTTGTGGGACTCCCATGTTAATCGCGAGAACTGTTTCTTCGTTATTTGTCTCCTTTCTTGATATATTTTTGGAATGAATGAATGAGTGGATATTAACGTCGCACTGTTCAGCTACACGAGGGCTATTGGCAACGGACCTCTTAATTTTGAGCCATGGTCAAGTGACAAGGACGACACCTGAGCTGGCGAACCCTCTACTAACTACCACACCAACGGGAGGACGTTTGAGCTCTCGACAGATTTAAGGTGCATCGCTCCCCTACATGGTGGGTCTTTAGGGGTATTGGGCTCAAACTCATGACATACCTGCATTTTTGGATCAAATGATATTTTCGCCAAATATTTTTTCACTTGGTAGCAGATTTAGCGAATACTATTTAGTACGGCCATCATTATACTAACCTTACATCGGAAATATAACAATTGTAAGATTACATGAGTAATCTAAGCGGAAAAAAAATCGGTTAAAGTGTAGAATTTTGGCAACCAGAATCAGTTGCCAGACTACCTGACCTAAATGTGATGATAGGTGTTCCGAGAGTAATGAAGAGCCCAATTTACTCTGGCATCTAGATAAACATCGCCAAATCTAAGGGGCCACCTATTCTGCACTAAGCCGAAAAACCAATGGCTTGAAAAAATAGGATTTTTAAAAACCCTGATTGTGTGTGTGTGTAATAATTCCCTCTAGCATCCTTTAAGTAACTCTTTTAATAATATTGAAGTAATCTTTTAATTATTTAGTTTGAAACTAACACTCTGATCTTAATTGTAATCGACTAATATTATTACATCAGAAATCCCTGTCCCGCCCATTCTATCCAGTCAGAACTACGACTACGTAATCATCACACGCTTGCACTGTTGGTATAAAATCAAACATCTTGTGTAATCACGCGCTCTTGCTCTCTGCCTTCATCATGTAAAAGTGTACATAACTTCAACTCTGTGTCTTTGTGTTGTGTCCGTCAAGATGTCACATCTGCTTGTCTCCTGTCCGCTCTGCTTTATAATCGTCGCAAGTTTGTCCTAAAAATGTGTATGTATCGTAATTTTGTCCTAAGCTTTTGATATGCGCGTCACAATAAAGAAGATGTATGTTCACTGAAGATGTATTAATGAAACTACTAACACTCGACAAAATATACCACTCGGCTAATATTTTACATATATATATATATATATATATATATATATATATATATATATATATATATATATATATATATATATATATATCCTGTTAAGAATACAGTTGTACTTTTAATCAGTAATTCATCCATCCTATTATTTTATAGCCTAGTGGTTAGAGTAACGGACTCCAGACCGGAAGCCCTGGATTCGATGCCCGATGTCACCAAATACCCTCCGAGTACACACAGAATACGTGCTCGTTAAATCAGTAGGTCCAAAAGTCTTGTGGGCTGAATTCACGAGTGAAGGGGACTGAAGAATATTTCCCTTCCCTTCAGTTCCATGCCTAAATTGTGAAGGTGGAGATCGGTGGTGTCGCCATCTGTCGTCCCTTCGGAAATTTCTCTGAGCTAATTCGTACTGTCATCTGTATGGTGCTCAAGGCTAAGGCCAACGACAGGCGTATATCTAGCCCTTTGCCACGATGAATTTCGTGGGCCTCGATCTGACTACGTAAGACAGGTGGCATTAGAAACAACAACAGAATTTAAAGTTTTTGGGGTTTTTCGTTAAATAGCAGGAAATATTTTCACTTTCAAAAAAGGTTCAAAGCGTGATTTTAATCTCTCTAAGGGGTTTATATAACTTATTTTGAACTGCTAATTCATCAGTGTTTTTTTTTACCGAAAAATAACTTTGATAACTCTCATTTATTTGAAATTAGAGTTTAAATGAATTTACTGTACAGAGGAAAATCCCATGCATAAGCTATCGGATAACAGATGTTCAGATTTAATTAAAAATACTCGAATCACTCGTCAGAAAAATTAAATTTGTTTTTTCTTTGTTTATATTATTTTCCAGTGGTTACTTAAATTAAAGATTGTGTAGTAAAAAACCACTTATTTATAAAAAAAAACTATGCTGTTTTTACATTTATTTAAAATTATCATTGAAAACTTTTTGGTTGGTTTCTTGGCACTAAGACAAAACAAAATGTAAATTATATTTTATATAGAACATAATATTTAAAAAAAACACTTTTAAATCAATTCCTTCTTAGGTCAACAAAGAACAATTTTATTTTAGTTACTTTTTATTACAGTAGAAAGGAATCACGTTCTCAGAAATTATGTCATCCCAGATGGTATGTGAACCCACGACCTTTGGATCAGAATTCCAATGCACTCTCCATTGCGCTACAGGGACACAATGCGCGATTTTCCTTTTTATATATGGTGTTGGACTATTATTTTTGTTTGTTACCATTTATTCATTAATTATGTAGAATCAATGAATTAATTTTTGAAAAAACTGTATTGACATCAAGTACCATCCACTACAAGTTTTAAAAAATGTATTTGAACTTGAGTGGATGTATAAAAAGTATTTTATTAACGACTGATAAATTGAACAAGATATATATGTAAAAAATATATATGTAGAGAGAGTGTGAGCTGATAGTAGGAATTGAAAAATTTAATTCAAAGAGAATTGGATCCTACTAAAAATATGTTATTTTCTGCATTCTAATAGTGACGATATAAATTCTAAGACAGTTTCCGTTTTTAAAAATATTCTAAATTTAAATGTAGGCTGGGTAGTCTAGTGGTTATGGTAGCTGACTCATAGGCGGCGTGTGATAAATTCACGCTCTAATACCAGTGAAGATCCGCCATGTAGATGGGCAACTGCACGTTAAATCCGAGAAACTCAATGTCTTCCTATTGGCGTGGAGTGGAAGTTCAGAGAGGAGGTGACAGCTCAGTCCTAGTCACTTGACCGAGGTTCAGAATTACGAGATTCGTCACCAAAAGCCGTTGTACGTTGCTTTATCTCTTTCATACTTGGTGGTACATGTACCACCAATTCTTATTCATTTATTGTGGGGTAGTACATAAAACGTACCACTTGTTTGAATGCCTCAGAACTGGATGATAGATGGTACATTCTCTGGTCCACCACATATTTCAACTCCTAGCAGTTATTCAAATTTCCAACAGATGTCAGAAGCTCATTGTGTGCAATGGATTTATGCAGTAGTTCATTCTTTGATCAGCTGTGAGTATGTTGACTGGTATTTTTTGGAAGTGACTGTGTTGTGTATTTTTTTAAGTTTAAATGAAAGTGATTCTCTTGTGATATTTGATACAAATCCGGTAAGTACATATATTATGTAGCTAAATAAGTAAATATTACAATAATAAGTACTTCACATGTCCATTGCTGTTATGAAAATATGAAAGTCCAAAAAATGTACCACCACGCAATTCAAAGCCATCTTTTCTTTACAAATACAAAATGCATTCCGCTTATTTTTTCGCGATAAAAGACATATTTATTGTGCCAGATAGGTTTGTTGTAAAAATTACATTTTTTTAAAAATAATAATTATTATTATTAAATAATAGTACATACACACAAAAAACAAATGTCCTGAATGGGCTATAGCTCGAGTTCAGGAAATAATAAATACAAATAATACACTTAATATATATGTTAACTAAATAAAAACTAGGTAAAATAAAATAATATATAGAATAGAATATTTAAAATTAAAACTAAAACATTAGGTAAAATAGTACTAAGCAAAAATTAAGCTTACAACATTAGATAAAGAAAAGCTGAAAATGTTTTAATACATAGGAGGAATAACACTATAAGATGAAGAAGTGTATATTTATTTATTTTCCAAATATAAAATAACTAGCTAAAGCTACCATTGTACTTAGGGAGGAAAAAATCATGTTTTCGGAACTATCATGCTGCTTGAAGCGTGATGCTACAAAATATGTACCACCTATTTTTTAAAAACTTCGGAAACCCTTTATTCGAAAAAGTGTTTAGTTTTATTAATATATACCAGCTTTTGTTCGATAATTATAGTTGTGAGGGGTATATCTAAAATGGTTGCAATTATTTCCCTCTCTAGTGCATTATTTTTGTCAAAAATTCAGCGCATGAAAGAGTTATAGTGCGCTGTTAATAAACACTCACATGCTGAATTTTAATTCCAATTTTTTAAAATAATTTTTTTTTAAATTAAGAAGTTGAGAAATTACTACATTAAATTCAATATCAGTATCCTTATTTATTTGCCTACAAAAAAACATTGTCCACTGTAATTTCAACTTAAAAAAATAGTTTTATACTACAATTCAATAATTGTACAGTATGAATCTATATTTTTTAATAATAAATCATTCAATGACATTTTCTAATTTTAAGCCTACAATAATTTTAAAAGAAATTTCTTTTTATAAACAGTAATTTTTTTAAGCTTACATTACCACATGCGTCCTAAAATTTAATTACTGATAAAATGTGTTAAATTGGTTTCATATTTTTGTTTGCAAAAAACTAAGGCACTTTTATTACTCTCGGTAAGTCGGTAGATACCTTTGAAAAACCAGTTCACACACACAATGTCAGATCCCCATAAAATCTGTTAAAAGAGAGAATAATCTGAAACGTCTAGAAATATTTTTAAAAAGGGGGGAATCGAACCCCGCAAAAGAAAAAGTTCGTTAAAAACAAAATGCGCTTCGCTATTCGAAGGTTGTTTTAAGAAGAAAATAATAAAAATAAAAAGAATGTAAAATAGAGGTCCGACTGTATATACATATATATCAATTATTGTTTAAATTTTTCCAAGATATTATGAAAATTGTTTATTGGCACTAGTAATTATCATAAAATTATTAGAAAAACTATTTTTTAAAAACTACAGTTCTATTTTGTAAATTTCTCTATTTGGCGAACTTTTTCCTGGAATCAAGAACATTTTACGATTTTCTTCTTAAAATAATCTCCAAATTGTGAAGTGTATGTTCTATTTAGCGAACTTTTTCTCTTGAGATTTGTGATTTTTTTCCCTCCCTATTTTTAAAAATATTTCAGGATATTTCAAATTATGCCCTCTCTTTTAACACATTTTATAGCGATCAATAGTCTTGAAATTGTTTTACTTGGTGCCTAACCCCCTGGAGTAATTACATTGTCGTAATTTTTCAAAAAAATTAATAGATTTTATCAGTAATTAAATTTTAAAACGCATGTGTGATAATGTGTACGCTCTAAATTGCCAATTATAAAATAGCTATGTTTAAAACTACTTGCAGGTATAAGATCAGAAAATGTCATAAAGTATAGATTAATTTTAATATAAAATTATTTTTTAAAATTGAGGGGGTTTTTTAATAAAAAATTGAAAATACACATAATAATTTTTTTTCAGATTTCATTTCGCTGGGTAAGGTACGTAGAACAGATATTAATTCACCAAAAAAGCTGCATAATTCCTTTTGTAATAATATGTAGTGTTTACGAATTTAAAATTTGTTTTATGAGGATGCAAAGTATAGTAAAAGATGAATCTCTAACGAATTTTTTCCTATGCGAATTGTTTTGGTGAGGGATTTAGCGACTTTGATGTCTGACTGTGTTTATTTTTTTCAGAGTTGAAGTTTTTTAACATTTAAGCATCATATTACTATGTTTTGACTCTGACTTCGTGGCCGCGGTAGCCCAGTGGTATAGGTATCGGACCGTGGCTTGCCTTGTCACGAGTTCGAGCCCAGTACCACTAAAGACCCGCCGTGTAGGGCAGCGATGCATGTTAAATCTGTCGAGAGCTGAAACGTCCTCCCGTTGGTGTGGTAGTTAGGGGAGGAGGGTACCAGCTCAGGTGTCATCCACGTCACTTGATCATGGTTCAAAATTACGTGGTCCATCGCCAAAAGCCCTCGTGTAGCTGATGTGTGATGTTAATATTCAATCAATCAATCATTGGCACTGACTTCAGTTTCAGAAGGATAATAACAGGGCTTACGTAATAAAGAAAAACAAGTAATATTTTTTTAAAAAATCCTACTTAAATCAACAAAGAAAAAAATTTATTTAGTTACTTTTTGTTAAATAGTTACAATTAATATAAATGTGTATATACATTTGACAAAATCACAATAATATGTGGCAAAATAGAAAGCGATTTTCCATTTTTCTTTCTATATAGGGTATTGGACTTTACTTTTGTTTGTCTCTATTTATTCATTAGTTAAATTTAATTATTCCAATAAAATAGTACAGATAAAAGAAATCGCATTCTCATAAATTAGGTCATCCCAGATAGGTCATCATAAATTAGGTGAACCCACGACCTTTGGATTAGAAGTCCAACGCGCTCTCCAATGTGCTACAGTGACACAACGAGCGATTTTCCTTTTTATATATGGTGTTGGACTATTATTTTTGTTTTTTACTATTTATTCATTAACTAAATAGAGTTAATGAATTAATATTTAAAAAAAGAGTATTAGCATCAAGTGTCATGCACTACAAGTTTTTAAAAATGTGAAGGAAGGAATATTCGATCTGGGTATCTTCTGTTCCGTACGCAAGTACTTTATCGACCAAGCCAAAACGATTGCCTTCGAGTGATGTTTGGTACTAGTTTTGTATAGATATCACGCCGCCACATACCCACACGCAAGTGATTCGGCGAAGAGGCGAACGATACTATATTCGTGGCGAGCATATAAGCAGTTGGGTCACTTTGTTGGTTGCATCATTCGTGCATGACGGCTTGAGAATTGCGTCATTTGTGTGAGATGACGTGGGGGGCGGCTTAATTGCGTTATTTGTGTCTGGCGGCTTGGTTGCCTTTGCAGTGGAAAGATGGCGCCACGAGTGCGACGCGTGAAGTGTGTGGTTCACTTTGCACGGCCAGGTTCACCAATGTAGGAGGAAGATTCGATCTGGGTACCTTCCGTTCCGTACGAAAGTACTTTATCGACCACGCTAAACCGATCATCTTCGGTTGATGTTTAGTACTAGTTTTATGTAGATATCACACCGCCACAAATGTATTTGAACTTGAATGGATGAATTGAAAGTATTTTATTAACGATTGAAAATTTGAACAAGATATATAAATAAATAAATAAGTATATATATATATATATATATATATATATATATATATATATATATATATATATATAGGGAGAGAGTGAACTAATAGTAGGAATTGAATAATTAGCCAACTCCGAAATTAAAACAAAACCATTTAATTCGCAACATCTCACACATACAATAGCACTATAATACATATCAAACGGAGAATCTCTTCTTTCGTTCCACATATCCTGTGCTATTTCCTGCCCCATCTGAAAGTGCCTCCCAGACTAAAGACGGGTTTGGATCTGATT